ATATGGGGACATTGGATACCTCAGATTGCAGAGCAATGGGAAGATAAGCCATACCATGCACCAACAGGAGCATGTACATGAGCTGAATTCTGGTAAAATACCAGTTATTTGAGACCACTTGTTTCTCTATAAGAAAGAAAAGCGAATTACTTTCCGCCTGCTAAAGTAGTCCTGCACTCTGCCCTTTAGCACTGAGCTATGATTTGAGGCACCTTACTCTCTGATAGGACGTGCTTTTTTCTAGTAGATTAACACAAGATGACGTTTGAATTTTAAATCCCTGGAAGATACATCCTGGCAGGCATGGTGAACCGCTGGCACGGCAATACCATTTTTTTCAGTGCATGCATATTTAGCAGATACTTGACATTTCCAAGATGCATTTCAAGGACAGTATAAATCACTCAGGAGCTGAAGTGCTATAAATTTATGCTAGTGTTCGGCCATTGTCTTATAGCCGTTTATATTCATTCAGACTCGGGCTTTGGTCTGTTGACTGAAGAAAATCAGCAGGAAGAGCTGGGTATGACATTTTAGGACAGCTACAATCATCTTTTCAGATCTGCTTGGAAAATTTGCTAGAGCAGTTGTTGCCCTACCTCCAGGGGTTGTGGTGTGTTACCATCTGGGAGAACTGGAGAACTGCTAAAGTCAAATAGAAAGCAAGATACTATCTGCTTTTATCGGAATCACAGCTCTTGCTGCTGCAAATTGTTTTTCATAGAATCATTCCGATTGAAGAAGGCCACTAAGGTCATCTAGTCCAACCATCAACACATCCCTACTGTACTCGCTAAACTATGTCCCCCAGTGCTACATCTGCCCTTTTCTTGAATGTCTCCAGGGACAATGACTCCACCACCTCCCTGGGCAGCCTGTTCCAATACCTCACCAAATTTTCCCTATAACACTCTATACCAATGTGACCCATTTAGCCCTAGTTCAGCAAACAGGAGAGATTATTTTACAAATCCTGTGCTGAATTTGTAAGTGACATATACATAAAAGTTTGCAAATGCCTAACCCTAAGTCATTTCAGACTTTTCTCTGGAAAAAAACCACCATAGCTTTCCTTCATTTAACATCAGCAGTCATGCCTGTGGAAAGCCTGAGCCTTTTTTTTATGCAATGAAACTCACTTAAAACTTTAAAATGGCGATTAAAATAGGAAAAATTCTTTTTCATGCTGACAGCAATTTTCACCCTCAAATTTGGCTTTTAATTAAGAAAGAAAACTTTGCATATTACAAAAACATTTTTTTTTATATTATGCTTCTCAGTGTGCTATATAGATTATTCTTGTCAGAAGTTGTAGTGAAGAAACAGGGTTAAGCTTATTGGAGTGCTAAAAATAAAAGCATACTGTGAAACCTGAAGGGGCCCATTTTGATTATAGCCAAGTGGGAGCATTTTAAAATTTTCATTTACAAGCTCACTTCCCTGTCTTTCAAGCAGCTCTACTGAAAATGCTGCCTTGTGAAACCGGTCCATTGTTGCCACTATAAAGACATAGGTCATAGGGGTTATTCCTTGATATGTTTGGACAAAAATCCCACTCCAGCCCCTATCGCTCCAGTAATTCACACAAAAGACTCCTGTTGGCCATTAGCAGGGCTTGATCTCATAAGACAGGTAAATAGATAGGGTTAACGAGCCCTCTGAGGGTCATCATGACTTCTGTCTGTGTGTGACAAGTGTGTCATATTAAGTTACATCTAAAAGCCAGTCAGCTCTGCTGCCTATTGAAAAAAGCCAGTCAGCTCCTTCCTATTGAAAAGATGTGTTTAGGCAGGAAAATTAAATGTCTTTTCCTAATTCTTCGATACAACAGCCATCTGCTTTGGTGCAGCCTTGTTCCTCAGTTTCATAAAATGGTGGTCGTATTGCCTTTAAAGTTTTTTTTTGTTTCCAAAATGTACCACAATCATAAATTCGTCATCACCAAAAGAAGATGGGAAGTCATTATGAGATTCAGACTACTGAGACCCTTTGAAAACCCTAGTCTCAGAGCTGAGTTATTTCACCTATTTGGGAGCAAATTCACTGTCTTTTCATGTTAAAGGCAGTGAAGAAAGGAAAAGTCATACCCAGCTGATGTTCCTGTCTTCTTAACAGCTTAACATTCCTTTGGATTTCCTTGCTTCTCAGTCCCCAGTCTTGGAAAGAAGCCTGAACATAAGCAAGGTGAAGCTCTGAGCAATCACTATCATTTGGCAGAGATGTGTTGACATCTGCTGAGTGACACATTTATTCTTGACTTATTGATACGGTCTGTGTACTTCCTTTTGATTTGACCCAAATTCTCAATTTATTCTCTTGCTTTCCTGCATAAATCAGCAGAAAAACACAGTTATATAGTGTTACATATTTATGTCTCATTTTTATAGAGTTTTGCTTGTTTATTTGTTTTTGTCTGCTCCTCTCAGGATTACAGATTTTTACAGAGAAAATTTAAGTGGGAGTTCTGCTCATTTCAGTTTCTGCTATTCTGCTGTTAGGAGAACAAGTGAGCAGAAACTTTGTCAGCAGGACCCAGTCACCTCTTTTAACATCACATCAACTTGTGTAGGATTTATAGCACTTGACCATCCTACCTGGGAAAGCCTGTGCTAGAAAAAACAGGATGGTGGTTGCAAAGCATGATGAGTAGGACATGACTACCCCAATCCATGCAGCTGTAGTAATATGTTATTGAATGGTCAGGATTTGAATTTCAATTGATGCAAACCAGTGTTGTCTCAGTGATTAGTTCCCAATTACACAGGTCTGTCCTAGCTTACAAACATGGAAAAAAAGGACTCCCCACTTCAAAGATATTCCTCAGTTCTACCCAGAAAAGATCGACTGTACTTCTCCTACTATTTATATAAAATATTTAGAATGACTCCTTACTGATTTATGGGTTAACTTCAATTTCTGGCTGGAAAGACATCAAGGCCAGTCCTGGAGACAGGATATCTATTGTTTTTGAACATGAGTATAAAATAATTTAACAGTGATAGTAGAGGTGGACATGTAGTAGCAGGGTTTTACTTGGAAATTTGCCTTGAGCCTCACTGCTAAGTGAGAGGTTGAAAAGTGTCTGCCATGTTTGAAGTAGACCTTGGGTAGATCCACTCACATGACAAAAATACTGCTCACTGCAGTGTGCAGTCTTAATATTTATGCTTCTGTTCATCAGTTTTTATAATTCAGCACCATCACTTTCTGCTGGAATTGAGAAGAAAAGAGGAAGAGAAGCATCTGTTATTTTCCCTGGAAAACATTCAGATTTTTGCAATACTTGGTTGTCACACTGGTGTGTACGAGTTAGTGGACTCAAATGTTCTAAGGCTCTGTACAAGCAAATCTGACATTTCTTCATAGCCTGGAGTTACAATCATTAGAAACAATCCTGATGGCAATGGAAGCATTTGTGCAGATCTCAGTAATGACAACCAAGGTCCACGGTTTTAAAATCTTAATGAAAATTCTTTGAGAAGCTTTGGAAATGACCAATTATGTCATTTTAATCTATAGAAGTGCTCACCATGTAGTTTGCTTTTGGTTACTACAGCATGCATAATGTAGTAAGAATGAATGGGGAAAAAAAAAAAACAAACAAAAAACAACCCTCAGAGGTGTGAAGAAAGAGTTGCAGTAAGTTTCTAGGGGCTAAGATGAAGTTGGGGAGGAAAGGGTGTTGTTCCACATTTTATCTGCAAGTTTTCACTCTAAATAAATAAACAAATGAATAAATATGTGAATAAATGTTACTTTAATCTTCAATGGCAAGTCTTAGACAAATTAAGTGTACATATTCTCGTACTGTGGCCAGAAATTATTGACATCTCTGAGTGCACAAATTGGTAAAGATTTCTAAGATTTCCATTGAAAGCACAAACCTTTAATTGCAAGTTTTATATCATAAATATCTTGCATTCTAAGCACAGTGATGGAGCCAAAATTTAAACTTGTATTTGATGGAAGTGAGGATTTCTCACTCAAGGTGTAGCTGTCAGTCTTTCTTTTCTAGTCTTATTTTGATTCCACGTTTCCCCCAGCTTTCACAACCTCAGACCTAGCAGTTTAGGATGAGATTCATCTCCCTTAATTTTAGACAGTGGCAATTTGTCTCATTCTAAACCATCTGTGCAGACCTCTCTTGGAGCTTGGAAATATGATCCAGGAGTTGAAGTTGTGATTCATCTGATCTGATCAGTGGCAGGTAGCTGGTGTATCGGAATGAATCACATGCTGCTAACTGCTGCAGCATCTGAGGGTTCTTGCTTAAGTAGAGACCTAAGTGTGCAACCCACACGTATTCAGATAAAGATTACTTCCAATCTCTATGAGATAATACCAGATAGAATCTACCACGTTGCTTCTGTAATTTAATCCAGTGGATTTGCCATTCTTCAGCTGAAATGCTCTGAGCATGCTATCAGTTTTTCCATTGAATTTAGTGGGAGTGGGATGAGATGATAACCTCCCTGCTCTGCACTGCTGTAGGCTCATCTCAAACACTGTTTTTAGGTTGGACACCACAATATCAGAAGAACATGAAGCTATTAGAGAGCATCCAGAAGGGGATATATGAAGATGGTGAAGGGTCTGGGGGGGGGGAGGGAGGTTGTGTATGAGGAGAAGCTGAGGTCACACTGGTTTGTTTAGCCCAAAGAAGAGAAGGTTGAAGGGATTTTTGGTGGTCCTGAATGGAACCAGGAGTTGGATTCTGTGAACCTTGTGGATCCCTTCCAGCTCAGGTTATTCTATGATGCCATGGTTCTATTATTTAAGGACACACAGAGACCTATCAGTCTCTCTGTACTACCTCTGATTGGTTAGGTGTCTTCAATCATCAAAATGCATAGCATTCTTCTTTCTCTGTAATGCAAAGTCTTGCAGAAAATGCTGCTTCTCTTTTTATGTGCACATGTAAACTGCTGAATCGCTGTCAGTATAAAGCTTTTGTTTTAGGTTTGTACCCTGTAATTATCTTCTATTATCTTAATTTGCAGACAGTATTGAAGCCAACATTGAAACTGCATCTTCTAATGTAGAATCAGCCAATGAGCAGTTGGCAAAAGCAAGTCAGCACCAAGTAAGTTGATCTAAAACACCTTAAAGATACATTCAGTAGTAGTATTTAAAATAAAGTGTACACTTGACGTCTGTGAACCACATGGCACATGGGTTGCATTGGATTTGTGCTACCTGGAAAGATGATTAAACACATTATAAGTAAGAGCTATGTGTTTACATGCATATGTATGTGATTGAATTATTGTAGCATTGGCGATTTGCATTAGTGTAGTCATTTAGAGATCTGCATATTAAAGAGCCATTTCCCAGTAGGAAACTCAACAATTAGCTATTCTTGTTCTTGGAAAAATGTCATAAAAAGTATATCATGTAAGTGTGTATGTGTTTCTTATTGGAGTGCTTCCTAAGAATCAGGCAATAGTGCTTTTCAAAAACAGCAGAATTGCCAAAAGACATGATGTGGTTGGTGAATAATGGCTATGGAAATTGTGTTCAGCACTTTTTAAAGGCAAATTCTGGGTTGGGTATTTCTTTTTTCCCTTCTGTATTTCTTCAGTGGAGCAAGAATAAAATACGCACATACAAAAAAAACCCAGCACATTTATCTTGTTTGAAAATAGCTTGACCAGAATTGGTAAATGGTTATTTCAGTGGTTACTCTCAAGGGTTTCAAGGGATGAAGTCAAAAAAAAAAAAAAAAAAAAAAAAAGAAAAGAATGAATGAAACAAAGAAAAAAGGTTATTTCTTACATTAAAATGACATAATACATACATATTATTCTTTTCCTCACTCATAAACCGATTTGTTCAATTTCAAGGTGATTTTCATGTATCTAGAGTAGTGTTATGACAAAATGTAGCTGAGGTGAGTGTGAATACTTAGTGCCTCCTCTTTGGTCCTCGGACACAATGAATTCTGCAGGTCTGCGATGAACCTCCAGCCTGAAGGAGAAGGAATCATAGACATTTTACTGCATTAAAAGAGGGTAATGTGATTTTAAAATTATCTACAACTCATTTTCTGGTGAAATGTAGAATTGTGAGTAATAAGAAGTTTTGTAGAACTTTGATATTATGGAAACTAGATGTGGTCTTCAGCTACATTTTGGTTTTAAAGCCGTGTATATTCAAGATAATGTGTTTTACCATGCATTTAATCCTGCATTTGCCTTGAAAATAGACTGTTGCATTTTTAGAGTGGGAAATCTAAAATGAGACATGAATAAATTTAATACTTGACAGTAGAGCAGATCGCAAAGCGTAAATGAGTTAATGACAATTTGAGCTAGGAAGGTCGGAGTAGTCAGGCAGAAAATGAACTCAGAGCGGTATAAAGGACCTGCTTTCTTCAACCAGCAGGAGCTGCTGAAATAACCAACCCAGTTAGGAAGTCCTTTATTCTTCAAATAGGTTGATCAAGATGAAGATATAACCAGTCTTAACGAGTCAACCACTGCTGTCAGCATAAAGAGACTTGCACCGACTGTTATTTATGGGAAAACACTCTGGATCCTTCCATGTCCTTGAAATGAGTCTGTGTAGAAGAATATCACTTAGATAAATTCTGCTGCCAAAGAAATTGTGCAGTCCACATCTGCTGTAGGGGATTGGTAGCTGGATGAGGATCACTGTGTACAACCACAGCTGTCTCTCTGTCACCTCTTTCATGAGATATGGATGGAAGATGGAGTGAACAGGTTGTGACTTTGATTGCTGGTCTGTTGTATGAGGTATTTGTAAAATGGTGTTTTGTGTCCTGCTATCTGCTCATTTTATATCTGAAAAGACATTTGTTTAGTAATGTGACAAGAGTGGCTCTGGACACGCATCCCTCAAGAGCTTTTGTAGGAATTGACGTTGGTGCCACTGCCGTATGTATGGATAGTGCAAGTAAGTCTAGGTTGTTCCTTCAGGTTGTGTGCCTAGTTCTGGCTATTTTAGAAAAGTAGAGGATGGATTTGATAGAATGATCACCCAGATGGCTTTGTGAGTCAACTGCTTTCAAAGGAGCTGCTATAATTTTACACCCTTCAAAATTTCTGTATTGTTCTGTGCTGGTTGGAGATTAATGTTTTTTAAATCTTACTGGTTAGTTTCCCTGTTTTTTAAGTTGTTGGTTCAATAATGTATTTGGTTATTATCTACGACCCCTAGCATGATGTGATTGTCCTCTAATGCAGAATGGCTTACAGATGTCTGTTATTTATCCCTACTTATAGGTATATACATATGTATATGAATATGTGTTTGTGTGCAAGTAGCATTTTGTGTAAGTATTGACAAATGCATATATAAATTAAGAAATCAGGAATGTCAACACAGCTGAAAAATTTAAGCTAAGCACCTACTGTAGACCTTAATGAAGAAATTTCTGCCAGGAACAAAGACTTAAGTGACAGGTTATTTAGCATAATGTTTGCATATAATGCAGTGCAGTGCATCAACAGTACAACTTGGAGCGCCAGTCCCAACCCATCCATTAACATAACAAAGCATCAGTAAATCTTTTCTTTAACTTTTTTTTCAAAATGAAGCATTTAGGCTTAATGCAACAATAGAAATATTTAAACAGGTATAAATATCTTCCCACTGAGTTCTTTTGCTTGTGTTTTAAATTTTGAAAGAGGCTCTCGCTCATGTTAAGATATCGCTGCTAGCAACAAAGTTTTCCAATTTGACATGAATTTTCACATGATCCATCTAAACCCTTCCACCAAGAATAACAAACAAATAAAAACACCAGTCACCGTAAAACAATAAAAAAGCCAATTGGCTGCATCATGGGGTAGGTGCAACTGCTGTTGTAGAAGGCAGAGTAAGATAGTCAAGAGAGTAGATTGTCTCAATTGCTCATTACACTCCTGATCTTACATGCCATGGGAATTCTCCGAGTCCATGCTGGGTACCATAACTGGCTTTACCCCCTGACAATAGCACTTCTCTGCTTCACCAGGTAAATTCACTGAGGACTCTGTTGTGCTCAGATATTACAGAGGCTCTGTGGGCATGGTAGAAATGTAGCAATGAACATAATGCTTATGTCCATTCGTGATGTAGCAAAAATGTCTTATGTCATAATCATTTATTTCCAGTAATATTTCCATGACACTGTAAATCATTTGATATATTTTCAGCATTACTTGACTTATATATATTGAGTGATAGGTGTTTGTTATATCTTCACTGCAGTATAAGATGTGATAGTTGAACTTGTAATTAATCATGAACAAAGAAAATACTGCATCCCAAAGCCAAAAAAAATTTAGTGGGAGCTGTCACATCTTTGAAGGAAATACATGTTTTCACATTTTTTAAATTCTTAAGGTTTGTTTTTTTTTTTTCCTCATTTTAAATTATTATTACTAGAGAATAACTGTTAGTTTAATTTTATTTTTTTTTATTTTTTATTTTTTTTTAACTAGAGATAATGGTTAAGCAGAATGACTGCAGTACATGCGGAAACATGCATGATGAAAAAGCAGATGAAAACACTATGAGACACTAATATCAGGCCTTGAGGAAGAGAGGCTTTTTCCATATGAAACACCTTTTGATCACATGAACTCAGCAATTTTACTTTGTTACCTTGCTTTTCTCTAGAAAAGACAAGTAGGAAAAATAACAACTGCATGGTAAATCTGACAGAGATATTCTCCAGTGGTAGACTTGCTTCACTGTCTTTCCTTTCTCATATCTGGTAGAAGTCATGAGCGTCTCACATCTTTTAGACTTGAAGAAGACATGGTAGCTCTAAGCATTTAATACCAGCAGCCCATACTTGTCTCTTGAATTGTCACTGTCTATACCCCTTCAGGAGATTCTTTGTCCCACTCATCTTAAGGCAACAATTTTAACATAGGGTGAATTGTTCTTTGGAAGGTAGAGTCATGGAATCATGGAATCATGAAGGTTGGAAGAGATCACTAAGGTCATCTAGTCCAACCATCAACCCTTACCCAGCATGTTCACCAACCATGTCCCTCAGTGTCACATCTCCATGTTTCTTGAACACTTGCAGGGACAGGGACTAACCTGAACTTCTCCTGGAACAACTTAGAGTCATTACCTCTTGTCCTAAAGGCTTACTGAAGAAAATACAAGTGTCTGTGGTTGAAGAACGTGTGTCTGAGATTTGGACTTACTTTACACTCACAGAGAGGAGGAGTTGCTTCCTACATCTTACAGAGATATCTAACATAAGTCTCATGGTTTCCTCTCTTAACAGACCTTTTCTCTTTGTCTTTAAATTCTGGACTTTATCAATAAATAACCTTGCAGACATTTCACAGGAAATGAAACACATGCAAATCACCTCTTTATAAAGAAAAATTAGGGCACTTAAGACCTGCCTAGATGCTTTTCTGTGCAACCCACTGCTGGGAACCTGCAGGAGGTTGTTGGTCCAGATGATCCCCAGAAGTCCCTTCCAAGCCCTGATTCTTTGATACTATGATTAGCTTAGTTGCAATGGACATTGCACAGAGGGGCTGGCTGCAGTAGGATGAGCCATGCTGCTTCGCTCAGTTTGTTCATAACTTTCTGCAGATGGATTGAGAGGAGGAAAAAGAAACAAATGCAGACTTCACAAATACATATTAAACCAGTTATTCTTTTTGACGCAAAGTTTGGCCTAAGTTCAGCTTGTTCACACTGACTGAAGGACTCTGTGTGCTGACTGTTGAAGCTCATTTGTTTTGGAAGAGCTGCTAGTGTGTTGCTCTGATTAATGCTCGTTGCTTTCCTTCCCTCTCTCCTTTATGGAAGTCAAGCTAATTTGGATTCACTGGTATCGCAAAGGCAAGCAACAGTTCAGTGACCCAATTGTGTAATCTAAGAACAATGATGTTTTTTCCTGTAAAGAAGGAATTCCTGGACCTGACTTTCAGTGATCACAGAGGGGCACTTTCAAGGCTGGAGCTTCAAGGAAAAAGCCTTATACATACTTCAGATTTGCAGATAGATCTTTTTACTGGGGGATCAGCAATAAAGAGCTGGCCTCAACTTTTGCCCAAATAACTCATTGGAACTTGAAAAAGAAAAAGAATATTTGGATTTCAG